TTAATGTAGTTTTTTTAGTTTTAATGTTTAACTAGAATGTGAGAGAATGAAATAGATTGAGTAGTATTATTGTGCTGTCCTGCTTAACAATATTTTATTAAATATTCTATGAATAAATATTGCATTATTGTTATATTACTTTTCAGCGATAGGAAAATATAGGACTTACACTTGGAGAACACCTATCTGGTGGATATTTAGTCGATATAAATAATATTCAATGATTGGAATGGATAACCACTTACCGATGCTCGTATTTCCAAGGTTTATATTAATTTATACACTAATTTTATGTAACAAATTTTATTACTTATAATATGTTCAAATTTCGTTGCTCTACATTGAATAATATATTGTTTGATTAAAAAATGAACAATTATGATGAATTTTATTTTAGAATTTTCACATAATTATATTCATTGGACAAATCGAATAATTGAGCGTATTATTGTTGTCTGCAATAATCACGTAGTAGAAGATATAATGAATTGTATAATTGCAAAGCCACCAAACAATTAAACGAATATGATAGATCTCATGAGTGTTTATGTCGAATTTAATTACGGAGTAAAGTTAGTTTCAACTAAAATGAAATCACTCATATAATATAGAAATACTTCTTTCAATATTGCCTAAATTTAATTTAATCAATTACAATTGACATAAGAAAATGAATTTTAAAAGGAAAATTACTATACCTTTATGTTGTAAAAAAATATAATTATATTAATCGTATAAATGTAAATTGTATTAACTGACATTATTGAATCTATTAAAATGATAATATCCAGTTAGTTTATTTTAAATAGGACTCTTTATTTGATTTGATAAAATGTTGTAGAAAAATGAATGTCGCTAACGATATTTTTGTTACTGAATAATTTTCAGGTGATATATGATAGGAATTGTCAGGTAATTTCGATTAACTATTCATATAACTACAATATATATTTTACATTTAGCAATATTCTTTCATAGGAATTTTTCATCAAGTTGTTCATGTATATTTTTATTTATTAAAAATTATGAACAACTCATTTTGTATAGTATTTACATTACTATTAACTACAAATATTACGTACATTTTTTATAATTAACACTAATTGTATTTTTCATGAAAATTACATTGGAGCGAGAATGTTATAATCAGTCACTGGTTAAAGGAACACTACTTTAGTGGAGCTTCTTCAAGTACAATAAGTTGAATTATTGTATCAAATTCAAGACAAGCAGCTGAAAGTTATTAAATTGAGCGGTAAATATCATATTTAAACTAATAGAATAAATTTCAATTTTTTACTCACTAATCCTCATAAAATATTTATTGTAGTTTTTATTTGAACATCGCCGAATTCGCAATATAACGTATCGTTAATCAACTTGGTTTCATGAATTTACCGAAAAACGTTCGTTTTGTTTCAACAGACATTCAGAGTAATTTATGGTTTAAATATACATATTAAATTTAAATTAAAAGTTTAAGATTCATAATTTTTTTTCCGCAATTTATTTATAATGTTACTATCTATTTTGTTATATAAAAAATATAAATAATATGAAACTATAGGTACTTATCTAATCGAGTTGTTATTCAATAGTTATATAATTTAAATAATAAAACATAGCTTTATATTAGTAAACAAATTTATTTCATTGACTAGTCCAAGTTAATTTATTGTTGTTATTATTTTTATTAATTTTTCGTAACTATGCACATTTGCTTTTAAGAAATTTTCATTTAAAACCTCTAGTTTTTTCATGAATGCACATCACGATAGCAAATTAAAACAAAAAGTATAACAAATCTGTCTTGTAAAATTAATTTTTTTTATTAATGAAACATCGAAAAATCATTGCGATAAATAAACGTAAATGTAAAGCATTACTTTGAAATATAATAATATATTATATTCAATATATAATAATATATTATATTCAATATATAATAATATATTATATATAATATATAATAATATATTATATATTGTAACGAGTAGGCTCGTTAAGGGGTAGATGAGCGGAATTTGAAATAGCGCGCCATGCGCAAAAGACCCGCGCAGCGAGAAAGAGAGAGAGAGATAGCTACGACACGCGGGCTCGTGAGAGTACACGTGAGACCGGCAAGCGGATAGCACGCGTTCGAGGTTCCATTGTCTTTCTATCTCTTTTTTTTGTCATTTCGTGTGCGTGAAGAAATCGAGTAAGGTGTAACAATTATCGCGAAGAGGAAGTGTGGTGATTGAGGTTGGTGTCCAGCGGCGGCTATCGCGTCAAAGTGATCGGATTGGGAGACACCATCCGAGCAAGGGAATCCGGCTCGTCGCGAATCGTCGCCCACAGTAAACAAGGATTAAACCATAGTTCGCCTGACTTCGACGATCTTGGGCGACGACCTTCGCGAGATTAAACTTGGATTATAAGGCGAAGCTGTCTGCAGCAGCGTTCGCTCGCGTAAGTCCACCTAGATATTGTAATATTTGCGTGCGGAAGACTGTGCGGGCTGCGCGCCGACCGAAATCGTATCACCCGTCTCTCTCTCGCGCGTACGTTTAAGGAGACCATGCGCCGCGAATCGCTCGGTCAATGCGAAATGCGCGCTAGTGTGTAAACAAATAACGAATAAAATCCGCTCTGATTGTATTGAGTAAGACGGCGAATTTATTCGACAATACCAGATTTTCTCTACGTTCCCTTCTCCTTCGCAACGTTTTCTGAGAATCTACAACCATCTCCCTTCTTTGTTGTTTCGTGCTTTCGCGCTCGTTTTCAGGCTGAGCGTCCAGCACAGAGCTAGCCAAAAGAGGGAAATAGCTGTGACAGAAATCTTGTTAGCGGACGACGATTCATCTACGAAGAAATCAACAACCGTTACAATATAATATATAATAATATACTATATATAATATATAATAATATATTATATAAATTAATTGATGTTATTGAAGCACTAATTGTATCAACAATTTTGTTACATTGATTTAATATCGACGTTTTTCTCATGTTAAGATGTATCTGCATTTAAAAGATAATGCTTTTGTTATTATTAAATAAACCATTGATTTATATATATATATATTGCAACGATTACCGAAAATCGTAAGACTCGCGCGAGGTTAACGAGCGGCTAAGCGAGAGGAGCCGCGTTCGGTTCGCGAGAGAGAGAGAGCGCGTAAGGGGCAATGACCGGGAGGGGAGGCTCCGACCGGCAGTATGACTGTGCCACTCAGTCAGTTCGTGCCGATCTAACCTCCGTTTTCCCGAGCCGTTCAAGTTTCGTGTGTTTGCCATTGACATTGAGAACTTGAGTGCGTGGGTGTGCTAATAGCAACAACTGCAGTAGCAGCAACAGCAGCGGCAGCAATAGCAACAACATCAGTAGCAGCAACAACAACAGCGACAACAGTTACGAGGCGGCACAGCGAGCATCGTAGCGGCGTCTAGCAACTTGTTGTTCGGATACGGTCGGCCACCGTATCCTCATCGATATCGCGGTAGGTGCACCTTCTTCCCATTGTTAATCGTTGTTATCACTTGCGTGCGAATCCGCGCGGCGAGCGCGAAGAATTTGTTTGTTGCGCGCGAGCAGGTAGTTCGCGGTAATCGCGTTTTTTTCTCTCTCTCTCAAACAGCGTGTCTTGTCATTCACGCGAGCGTGCGAAAGTCTCTCGGCAAAACTCCCGTGTAGTTAAATTGCATCAATAAAGTGCATGTTGATCGTTACTTTCGAGTTAAATAGTCGTTATTTAGTCTTTCCTTTGTCCGGAGGTCGCCCCAGTGTTTATTTTCAGGGGATTCGAATTCGCCGGTTGCGTAGCACGAATCGTGCGATTATCGATAGACGCGAGTCGACGACTTAGGTTCCAGCGGCGGCCGCACGAGCGCTACTAGCAAGGGGCGACAGCGCCGCCAAGCGGTGAGTTGGGGGAACCCAACTCGGAACAGCGAAGAGACTCTGCGCAGGCGCACTCCGAGGCAAGGTAGGTTACTGTGCTTTGAGCACATAGATAACAAGGCTTCGTCTAGTTATAATAAGGGCAATTTTAGAGATTATAGGCTAGGCGACAGCCTGTTACAATATATAATTACTTCTTATTCCTAATATTAATATTTCCTTTAGTAATGTTATTTTCAATTCGTATATATTTTTTGTAGTCTAAAATATATTAAAGTAAAAATTATATTGTTATATTATAGCTTAAAACTACTTTTTAAGTTTTAATTGCAATCAAAACATTACATTTTATAGTTATAATAATGACAAATTAGAATTTTAATATTACTATGTGAAAACAAATGTAAAATTTCGAATTGAAAAAGTGCTATAGTATTTTTCTTATTGGTTCTATCATTATACATGCAAAATACATTTAAATATTTAAATTTAGCCCATTCTGTTGTATTTTATTTTTTACTTAACAAAAATTAAAATGCAAAAGCTTGCATTTGACATGAGTATATAATGTTAATGACTGGGATGGTGGAACGAGCGGAATAGGAAAGAGCTCTTTGGTGTACGCACTGAAATTAGCTGCACACTCGGAGCTCAGGGCCCTTTTTTTCTCGAGGTAAACTATCGAAACTCCACACTGGTTGGAATGTATAAGGAATGAATGATTCAGACTGTTTTATACATTTAAAAACTATAGCAAACTTCAGGTGCATTATAGCACGCGAAGATAACATTTTTTGGACCTAAAACCTATGCAGGTATTATTTTTAGATCATATAAAAGCCATTTTCATCTGGTCTAAATTAAGTAACATAAAAAATCATTAACGTCCAGGCTGTTTTATTTTTTTATATTTTATCTATTCCGAAGAGAATATAGAATACAAAATATGAAGAAGGGAATCTCTGTCTATAATTTAGAAATCTTTGGTAAATTTAACTTTAGTGGTTATATTTATATTCGTACAGGATTTCATTGCAGTGTGGTATACATAATTCACATATATGCATTAGCTTCTACAATTTTGTAACAATCTATCAACTATACTCACTTTTCCTTCTAGAGATTGCGGCTTAGAACTCGTAGTATCTACTAATGAATTTTGTAAACTTGGAAGATTCAATTGTTGAGATAATTGATTTTGTAACTGTTCTTCTTTTGTTAATTCTGTCGAAACTTTCTTTACTTCCTAAATTAATTTATACATAGTCAAAAGTTTTTAAAAATAAGTTTTAAAAAAGTCGATACTTACTGGTTCCAAGACAATCGGATCATATTTAAAATTAATTTGAGTTGCCGTAATTAGGGCAGCCCCCATCAAAACACTAAATATTGCAAAACAAATAGTATAATTTTTTTCTTTCGGATCAGGGCCACAAGGATGATCTGGAAATGCAGTACTGTGATCTAATGCTATTCCAACAAAAAACATGGCTAGACCCCATCCTAGACTTCCAAACATTCTCTGATGACCATATCTGTAAAAGAATCAGTCTATCAAGATTTTTAAACATATCAACTGTTTATAAATGAGAAAAGGTTATAATATCAAGTTTTCGAGGCAGAATTGATGCAAAAAAATGTACCATTAGCTTTATCTTACAGTCGAACCTACGGTACTGCACCCTTCGGCACTGCATTGCCCGAGTCACTGCGCGCCTCTATACCCTAGAAACTGCACGCTGCACAGTACCATTACTAGTAGCCCACTCACCGCGGGGGCCCTCTTAACTTTTTTATTAAAATTAAAAAAAGTAATTTTAATTGAATTATTTTAATGCCGACAAAATCCAATATTGTTCTATTTAATAAAAAAATTATCCTGCTTAATTAAACAACTACGAACAATTGCGCGAAAATTTTTTTGGGCCTCTTTTAGTGCTACATATGCCCGTACCTGGCCCAGCGCTGTGATTGGCTACCGCCAGCATGCAGTGCCTTGGGTCGGCTACTCCCGAAAGCGTGCAGTGTCGTAGGTTCGACTGTAATTTATACCGCCGAAAACTGCTTTTTTGGAATTAGTACTTGTGCTCCCCAAGATATTAAGAAAAAAACGATTTTCACAGTCTACTTCGACAATTTCAATTACTTGTCTATCACGACGCGAAAAATTTCTCTTGTCAGCGGAAAAATCGTGGAAATTGATGGTAAAATATTATGAATGTCTTCTTAATGTACCATCTGCAAAGTGAAAAAAATTAATTTATAGAATCTACGATCCTGCCAGAAAAATGCTGGATTTTCATAAAAAAATTTTAATAAATTACTTTATTTCAATTTGTATCATACAAAATTTGCAAAATTTTCTTTTCGTATTCTTCCTATTTACCAAGAAAAATAACATTTTTGTAGAACAGTCTGATACATGTAAGTGCTGTTAGCGCATATGCGGTAGAAAATTATGATTCTAGCGTAAAAGTATTTGAAAATTTTTATTCTGGCGCAAAAATACTAAAATTATGCGGGAAAAAAAGTAAGCGATTTGAAACTAATTATATCAGTGGAAAACAATTATTTTGCACTTTGTATCCATCTGAAAAGCGGATAAAAGTCAGAAAACGAACCTTTTAAAAATCTATTCTTTTGGCCAGACAATGTTGCAGTTCCAAAGAAAAAACAACTGTATCTGGTAATTTATATCAAATTAAAAAAAATTTTAAATTGTACCCTCCTGTGATGATAAATAAATCAATTTTTCCTGGTAGTATAAGAATTTAAATTATAACAAGATTTATCCTGTTACGTTTCTCTCTCCATATTATTATTACCACTTATAATTAAATATGTTTACCTAGTGTCACAGAAGCAGTAGACGATAATAAGGTAAGAGAAAGAGCAACTTCATGCGCGAGCCACGGAGAGACACTCGGTTATGGATGAGTGATGCGCGTATGAGCGAGTGTCGCGTGCCACGCAAGAAGCGAAAGAGGGAGAGCCGGCAGCAGGAATTAGCTCATGGCTTTCGTCCGGTATGCATGTATTCACGCGCTCTGTAGCTTTGGTCGTTTCCTTAAACTCAGCCCTTCTGATAAATCATCCTGCGCTGCTAGTTATGTGTGCGCGACCTTGCCGAAACCCTCGCGTAGAGGAATGTAGGAATTGTGTGTGCGAGAGAGTAACATTCATGCGTGTACTTTTATATCGGTGCGATAAGACAAGGCCACTGCCTATTAATTATTGCACCAGCTACAAGGCTTTGGCTCGTGACGAGTAAACGTCACTGTATAACGGTTATCCATGTACAAGGGCCCGGCTATCATTTGTAAGTACTTTTTTGTTCTAGCTCTTTCATGCTTGTTTCCTTCTCTCTTTGTCGCTTCACTGTATTTCGTTTATGTTTACTATAAATTTTTTTCTTTACGTACAAACACTGTTTTTTATTCACGTCTGATTGTTTTCCCCTTTTCCCTGCGAACTTGTACGCGCTCATCATAATAATTTATATGTAAGATGTAATTACTGTAGCGAAATGCACGACACTCTTCGCGGGCCTGCTTTTACCGTAATTCCCGATGATCGCGCAAGTCTTTGAATGGTTTATGTACGCCCGCAACGAGCTGCTTATCTTTTCTCTCATTTTCATAAGTCTCCCAGGCTATTTCAAGCGAGCTAAATAGAAGTTGGCAAAAAGAAGCCGATACCAAACAATGGTATGCATGATTCTCGGCACAAGTAGTAGTATATCAATGAGAAAAAGAATCTTTGCAGGTACTGGCCATTCACTATCAAAATAGCGCTGGATTGCAGGTCAATCTAGCCAAATTACAAAAAGAAAAAGAAAGTATAAATTTACTCAACAAAGAACTGCAAGAGCAGTTGAAAATGGTAGTGACCACGACTCATTAACAAGATTCAGAAGAAGCTCGTCAAGAAGCTATCCGGAATAAAATTGTATAGTTTGCAGGTACATTCGAGCTAAATTATTACAATGTATCGAACCACTTTATCACTCGGCCCTATGGTTTACTTCGCAAACTCGCTCACTCCCGTAAGCTCGTACTGGAGAATAGGAGGCTTGTCTAGTGCAACACCAGTGTCGACGATACAGCAAGGATCAAAGGGTATTGTCTACGGCTAATCAAGTGACTGGCACAAATGTAACGTCATTTAATACCTCGTCTCACTTTCTTCCCAGCAAAAACTTAGAAAAGACAGTTAGAGAATGGAAATAAAATTTTTCGAAGGCGACGGCCTTAGTTGAAAGGAGTTTTTAAAAAGTGTCGAGGAAAATCGACGACTAGATTGAGTAGCGGAAGAAGAATTGCTAGATTTCATGACCCCTTTATTTAAAAGTCAGCTCTCTTTTGGTATCGCGCCTTAAGGCCTGCGTGGTCTACGTTTAGCGAATTCAAAGAAGCTGCTTCTAACGCTTATAGCAAGTTTAAAAGAAACAAACGTATTATGACAGTGGAGGCTCACCTGCGTATGCAAGGTGCCAATGAGACTGTACTTGAGTATGCCGTTTAGCTACTTACCATTCTGAAAAGGATGGATCCGCTATAGAGCGTTCAGGGCCAAAAAAAGCTCATAATTGACAACATGCGTCATTCACTCAAGAAAAGATTAAATTACTTTAGGGACAATCTAACCGACGTGGAGCTGCAATCTAACAGACTGGCTTGAATCCAACAGGCTAAAGATGACGAACTAAGCCAGTGAAACCGCCTCCTTCGAGGGACCAAGCCACGTCCAAGCTAGTCAAGGCCAAGCCCGTGGGTTTGTCATTCCTGAGCGAGAAAGCTTCACGAGTCAACAAAGCCGAGCTGGAGAAACTCATAACGAAACTATTCGACAAAAAGGCCAAGAAACTAGGCATCATTAGGCTACCTGCCCTGCTGGCAAACAAAAAAACCTCGGGCGAGAAGTCCTAAATGGCAACAAAAGGAACTTCGAATGGCTCTATAGGCAATTCGTCTCGAGGTAGTTACCGTGGCCGTGGACGAGGAGGAAAGAGAGGCTGAGGATTCCCGGGAGGCAATCGCGTCTCTGTCATTACTCCCAAGTCCGATAAAAATAAAGACAAAGAAGCTGGCCCGGAGAGCGATAAGTCTCTCTGCTGGAAATGCAGTTGTCCAGGGTAAACCAAGGGCACCTATTCTGAGTGTTCGCCCAAGGAAATTAAAAACGAAGAATCAAAAATGCTGACAGCAGTTAGTAGACGAGGTCCATACAGCTCTCCCTATTACTTAGACTTTTGATGTCAGCAGCATCACAGGGGTAGCTCAAGCATGATATGACATGGAGAGCTAGTCAATACTATCCCCGGCTAATTCTTTCGACGTACAGCCGACCAGCGATGGAGGTACTGTGGCTATCGCCCTGATCAATAAGTTGCCTAGGTTGTGACTGACAGTAAAGGTTGGCGACTACAAGTTTAAAGGACCCTGGAGCTTCCTGTACTGTCCTTAGCCCGAGCGCCATCTCGATAGCTGTGGCCTAAAATAGGCGCATACATCCGTATGAGGGCGCTGGGGCAAAAGCGATAGATGGTTATTACGTACACACCGTGGGTAACATAAAATTGCCCTTCACCATTGAAAGAGTAACACATGTTATCGACGTTTTCATTCTCACAGAAGTCGACACGGAATATATACTATGTGCCGACTTCAAATGCGCCTTTCGGCTTATTTGTGCCTAAAAATAAATAATTGATTTTTTGATGGCTGTGAAGATAGCATGTGTACAGTTCTCTCTTCGGAGAAATCTAAAAAGACAATGGCCTTGATCTCGTTAGGGATCGAAGATCTCACCAACGAACAAAGAGCAGAGATAGAAAACATCGTACGTAGTCTGCTACCTGAGGCCTCCTGTGAACAATTAGGGTGCACAAGAAGGATCATATGTAATATAGACCTCACTAACCCATACCCCATAAAACAAAAATATTATCCGTTGTCAAAAAAGGTCGAGGATGAAATGCACATGCAAGTGCATAAAATGCTAAAAATAGGAATCGTTCGAAAGTCCACTAGCCTATAGTCAAGTCCAGCCATCATAGGCTCAGCAGGACCGTCCCTGTAAGGGCAATGGAGATATGATTTCTCAATTCTACAATGTACAACCACAATTGATATAATAAAATCATTCTATATTGATAGCATTTTTATCCCTAGATTCTCCAATTTCACCACTTAAATGGAGATTGAGGACAAACTATTTTCGTGTTTTTATTACTGCATTGTCCGATCATCTTTTTCTGCCTTTTCGCTTCAATATGGAGAATTTCCTATTCATAGCCTGGCGTTCTACACTTCCTGTTTGTTTTTCTCTCATCTGCTTTTCTTATTTTCGTAACTCTTCAATGACTTCCCTGGCGAAATTCATCGTTGCATTTTACGCCGTACAGCTGTATCAAATTTTCTGACGTGATCGACATGGCTGGACACTATGGCTCTTTCGACGTTGCTGTTCGAGCTTCCGACGTTGGGTGTTGAATGTAGAATATATGAAAAACATGTGCCTTGCGTTCTCTTCT